CGCAAAAAAAAACTTAGCATTATCAGCTAAATATCAGTAACTAGTTCGAACTTTGCTGTCATTTTACTAAAAGTTATCTGTTAAAGATAAAATATATTTGTTCACTCAGGGAAATGTTTCGCTGTTCCAGCTAGAATTCTAAATATTACATCTAAATTATATCGCTGTTTTTTGTATCTGTTAAAAAATTGTCTGTCATACGTATGTAGAATTTATAGCAGTAATATTCTAGAAATATATACAAAAAAATATAGGTCTCATAATTAAATATGATTGGAGTCCAGACTGACTAAATAAATTAACGTCCTAGAGAAACTTTCTTGCTAAATTTGACAAATAATTCAAATATAATTTCTGTCTTTGTTATCTATATTGATTAAATACAAAACATATTGCGGTATCGCAATACTTACTAATCACTTATCCGTTTTAGCTATAATTTTTCGTACCTAAATAATTCTCTCTATAATTGCAAGATTACTTTTTTTAGTGTTGCGTGATACAGTTTTATTAGCTAAAATAAAAGCGTACTTTAACAGGAATAGCTGAAAAAGTGGCATATGGAAAGAATGATTTTGCTGAAAAATTTAAAAGTTTTGCTAGGTATTCCAATATAGAATTAGCTAAACGTCATTTGATTCTAGCAGCAAATATTTTTTGCTGTACACTCGGGGAAATGTTTCGCTGTCCCAGCTAGAATTCTAAATATTACACTTAAATTACATTGCTGTTTTTTGTATCTACCAAAAAATTGTCTGTCATATGTAAAATTTATAGCAGCAATATTCTAAGAATATATGCAAGAAAATGTAGATCTCATAACCAAATATGATTGGAATCTGGATTGCAGTCTGGATTGATTAAACGTCATAGAGGAACTTTCTTGCTAAATATGACAAATAGTTCAGATATAATTTCTATCTCTATTATCTACATTGATTAAATACAAAACGTATGTGATATCGTAGTGCTTACTAATCACTTATCCGTTTTAGCTAATTTTTCGTACCTAAATAATTCTCGCTATAATTGCAAGACTACTTTCCTCAGTGTATAGTGCCTAAATTTTAACAACTAATAAATTTAGCTTTGGTAGTAATGATATTAGCTGTCCCTATTTTAAAGACACACATTAGTTGCCACGGCTATATTAATTTTAGCTGCGTTGGCCTATAATCCTTTCTCTGCGCGCGTGTATAATTAATCATGATAAGATATCATTTGGCACACAGTTCAGTCTCAAAATCGAGGGCCCAAAAAAAACGGGCGATTTTTTGGGTCACTTTTTCTCGCGTTTATTCGCCCCGCGACTGCATTGGTACGGGAATCTCGCGCGGAAGGACGGTTTCTTACTCCTTTATATACGGAGAGTAAATCTGACGCGCGAGTGTAGACGCGCGCGCGCGCGCGAGCGACCGTTTCCGAAGACGATTAAACTTCATAAAGCGGACCGTTCCTTACGTCTGTCGGGCAGGCGACAAATCCTACGGATTAAATCAAACGCGATTCGCGCCCCTCTTCGCGCGGAGAGTCGCCGCGAAGAAGAAAATCCAATCTGGGTGAGGCGAGCGATTCTAAAGGCGCGCGCCTCGGAGGTACCCCGCCTTCTAAATGGAAAACGAATCACTCGGAAAACTTTCGGTACGCCGGGGCGTCGAACAGGTCGGGCGTGTCGGTGCGAAGGAAGTTCGCCGTTTATTCGCCCGGGCTATAATTTATCGCGGGGGGGATAGAGGAATTACGCGTCGGTGAATTCGAGGCAAATTTTTCGACGAGGGCGGAGGGGCAGCAAGAAGAGAGAGAAAGAGAGAGAGAGAAAGAGAGACCTTCTGCGTTTATGCTACGCACGTGTCAACCTGAAAAGCCGCGTAGTAGCGATCGAAGCACGACGACAATACGTCACGTTTCGTCATCGTCGTCGTCGTCGTCGTCGTCGTCCTCGCCCTTCCTCATCCCGAGTGAATCGGCACGAGATCTCGCGCGTTGGCGGCAACACAATGCCGCCATTATGACGCGAGGAAAACGAATTTGGAAAAGTTTCTACGATGCATCAGGTGCTTGACTTCCCCGGCGGCCTCCGGGACCCGGGAACGAAAATTGCGAAAGCGGTTGAATTTGTTCCGCGAGAATTCGTCCACTTTGCACGATAATGCCCCATCGAGAAACCCTCGTTCGCGAGAATGGCTGCACTTGTAACGCGACTCGAAAAATCATGATCGTAAAAGAAAGATAACTGAAATCGATTTTATTAGCCGTATATATAGCCTGTGCTCCACAGATTTATTGTTGAATCTAATTCTTCCTTTGACAAGAAAGACAGACGTTCGATAATAGACCTTCTATTAAATGAAAAGACAGATCTACAATAAGTTCATTGTCGACGGGATGCTTCCAATTGTCGCGAGATTACGATCCCACGGCGTTGCTGAAATATTTACAACCGCGCTGTCGCGTGCTTGCCCTCGCCGCTTTCAATGGAACACGATAATTCGACCGGTCCAAGGCGTGTTTTCCAAGGATTAAAAGTTTATGGGCGAACGAACTACCGTTGGAGTATAGTTCAGTTCTCCGAGAGAAGGAGCGTCGTTCGCGTGCGGTGGTGCAGCAGACGACGGTGGATCGAGAGATATTAGCTATATAAGATGAGTGGCATAAAAGAAAACCATTTCTAAAAAGAAAAAAAATAGAACGCGCAATTTTATCGCTACTCTCTCCGCTGTTCCCTACACGACGTTATATGGTGCCTGCGTCCGCAATACCGGTGTTTCGTAACATCGCGATTCATCCATTCGCGGATCATTCGCGTACACTCACGGAAATGTTTCACTGTTTCAGCTAGAATTCTAAATATTAAACTTAAATTATAAGTTTTATGAATCTGCTAAAAAATTGTCTGTCGTACGTAGAATTTATAGCAGTAATATTCTAGAAATATATACAAAAAAATATAGGTCCAATAATCAAATATGATTGGAGTCTAGATTGGCTAAATAAATTAACGTGCTAGAGAAACTTTCTTGCTAAATTTGATAAATAATTCAAAATATAATTTCTGTCTTTGTCATCTACATATTGATTAAATACAAAATATATGTGGTATCGCAGTGCTTACTAATCACTTATCCGTTTTAATTTTTCGTACCTAAATAATTCTCGCTATAATTGTAAGATTACTTTTTCCAGTGTAGAACGACGAGAATATTCGTTGTGACATGTGTATGCGCGCGCGCGCCCACGTATGTGTGTGTACGCAGGCTCTCGAATCGCACCCTTAGGCTCTAATTAACTTCAATGATGACTGGATTCGACGTAACGCGTGGCGCACTCACGTGCGTTCTGTCTGTCGATGCACGTGACTCGTGCGAATGACGGGAAAAGTCCCCCCCCCCCTCTTTGCCCCCTCGTATTTGTTATTCATTGTTTTTGGCACACGCGATTTCACTCAAGATTAATTATAATTAAACAAAAATATACAGGATGTTAAAAACCTCCAGCATTTATATAATTGATGGTACACATCATAATGAGTAAAAAAATTTTAGTGAACACAGATTGAAAGTTCAACCATTTCTGAGATATAAATATTTTTGTAGGTATATATGTTAGCATCATGATTGACACTGACTTATACGTGTCGCATGCGATGTTTATCGCAGTATTTGTAAACCGTATCTGAATTTTCATATATTAGGTGTAATAGAAAGTTTTTTGCTTTTTTTTTTTACAAAATTCAATCTTTATTTGAATAACATACAAAAAAAGCGCAATCCCAGCTGTTTTGCAAGTTCTTTTACAGTTTTTATTTTATAATGCCTGCAGTTCGTCCAGAACGTGGTCGGTCTTTCAAATCAAAAATTCCGGCGCGAAATTTTGTATACCAATTTCTACATTTTGTGTGACTTACAGCATTATCACCGTATGCAGTACAAATTATTTTGGCAGCTTCAACAGCATTTTTGTTTAGATGAAATGTTAGGTGACTGAAATATCGAATATGTTATTATTAACTGTTAACAAAGGTATTGATTTTTTAGTTACGGCTGTCCCCATCAGTTATGGCTTTTTTAACTTTAAAATCGCAAAAAGATGCGAAATTATTTCAATTTGAAATAATGCTCTGATGCAAAATTTAAAGTAAAGAATTGTCTGTGTCATCAGTTAGTTGTTATCAGCTGGCAGATCTATTATTTGATTACTCAGTTATAAAGTATTGTGAGCTTAAAATATTATAGCGTACTATATATTACTCTAATCAAGAAATCTTTTTACTCTATATAATTTACTCAAATTATTGCGACATATATAAGATATCAGTAAAGTCATGATGCTAATATAAAAAAAGATTTATATTTCCGAAACGATTGAACTTTCGACCTATATTAACTACGTTTTATTTTACTCAATATGTGTGTATTATCTATAAATGTTGAATGGTTTTTTCTAACACCCTGTACGTGAACTGCTTCCAATCCATTCCGCGAAATGAGGAACAAGAAATGGCGCAACGTCAAATTCTTGTAAGTAAAAATTATTTTTAAAAAATATTCTTGGCGTAAAAGAAATAAAATATAGACACGCGAATGTATTGGGTTGAGAGAAATCATGTCCAGGAAAGCCAAGCTGAAGCAACGAGATGATCAAATTCTCGTAAGTAAAAGTAACTAAAAGAGGATATCTGAGAATAAAAAACAATAAAGATACAGGAAGATAGAAGTTGTTTCTAGAAATCCAAGATAACGCTGCGAGATGATCAATGAGTTGGAAGATGTCAGAAAGCAACGCGCGGAAAGAAATCGAGTTTCCAGCTCCGCCGGTTTTTCGCGGTCTTTCGCGTTGAAAGTACGACAACCATCGTTATCCAGGGGGAAAAACTATGTGTGTGTGTGTGTGTGTGTGTGTGTGTATATATGTGTGTGTACAGCCCCGAACAACACGATGATGTTTTCGCTCTCGCGTGTAAGTTACGGGGCGACCGCGGGGGCTCGTAATTGCACACTCACCGCTCTCCGCGGACGGGTAAATGTTGAAGGCCGAGTCTTTCAGCCAGGATGTGACCGCGACGTACTCCTTGACGAAGGCCGGTATCTCGCACCTGAGCACCCCCGTGTTACCCGCCAGAACGTAGGCGTCCCGCACTTGTACCTCGTACTTCTGGCGTACCACTGGAAAAAAGAAGAAGAGGAAGAAAAGTTATACACGGCCTGCTTGAGCGTGGAATAAAATGCCGGTTGGGAAGGGAAACAGGGGGAGGGGGGTGGGGGCGAGATGGACCGCCATATCGCTCTCCGCGACAAAGACTCTCGGGACAATGAAAAAATATAGAGAAGAAGGGGCCAGAGAGAGAG